GCCTTCTTTCCTAGAACCTTTCTTGAAGTTCCAACTGCCTGAGACATGCTTTGCTGTGGGTCTGTGGCACCATGAACCAAAGCTTTATTGATGCAGGCTCATTATCTTACATATGTGTCTGTTAATTAAAAAAACTGAGACCTTATTTTGTTCACTGCTCTCTTTGCAATACTCCCCTGGTCTTGGCATAGGGCAGACATTTAATATTTGCTGAATAGATAAATGACCTTCCCCTGTAAGCTATGTCTCTCTGACTTCTTGTCTCTCTTTGCAACATCATAATTTTCCTAATTACCAAGTTTTAAAAATGTTATGGATGTGGACTTCTTCTCATTTGCATAGCCTCTGTCCACCCTCTTCTCATTTGCATATTCAGTTAATGGTCAAGACCTGCTGCCCTTTCTCTTACTCTATTCACACAGTCAATGCCTCAGTCCCCTGAACCCCTAAGATACAGCCTCCCAATTGGCCTCTCTCGTTCCTTTTTGCCCTCTTCAATCCACATCCATCAGCATTTTCTATTTTCCTATCCCATAACAATCATGTCATTTCCTCTGACTGAAGCCTTCAGTGGGTCTTTGCACCAGTTAGGGTTCTTAATTGCAGACAACAGAAAAGGATTCTAGTCCACTTAAGCAGAAGAGGAATATCCTGGGATGATAACATGCAGTTCACAGAATTGACAGGAAGCCTCAAGAAAGAAGCATGGGAAGGAGGCAGGAGCCAAGAGAAGCTGGCAGCCAGAATTTCAGCCCTATCCTGCCCTAGGAACAGCCTGACTGGGTGCTGCAGCCCCAGGTCTCCAGAGGCTGCCCTCACCCAGATCCCACCACTTGAGCACTGACTCTTGCTGCCACGGGGATGAAATATGACTAACACTCTGCCTCTCTGGTCACATACTCAAGATCCAGAGTCCTATGTGGCAGCATGGATTTGGCCGTGAGCTCCTGTGGAGGGTCAAGGGAGCAAGTATCTGACTTCCTACTAAGACTCACACTAAAGAGGGTCCACCAGCACAGAACAGGGGCTCAGGTGCTTTGAAGCTGAAGAGCCCAATGTGTACCGACAAACAGACTTCTGAGCATGTCACTGAGACCCTCACCACCCCCACCACCCCCAGGTTTTCTCCCTTGCACCTGGGCTCCACTGAAGCATGACTGCAGGCAGTTCCCTGACCTAGCCTTTCCTGCCTTGGCACTTGTAACAGCTGGTCTGTAAAGATGGTCCCCACTGGACCTTGCTTCCCATGAGTGTGTTGTCCCACCTCTTTTTTTATTTTTATTTTTTATTTGTTTTGTCCCACCTCTTGAATCTAGGACGGCTCATGACTCATTTTCACTGAGAGCACACGGGAAGTATCGCTGCATGACTTCCGAGGAGAGGTCCCAGCATCCTTGCAGCCTTTGTCTCAGGCTCTTGGAATGTTCCCTTTGGGGCAAGTCAGCCACCAAGTATGAGCTTTGTCTACTAGAGACACCACGGAGTGAACCCAAGCCTCCTGTGAAGGTTATGGGGAGAAAAAAATGACGCCTTTCCTGTCTGTCTGATCCAGTCACTTCAGAGGAAGGGCCAGATGTGTAATTAAATACAGCCACCTTGACATCTGGTCTAGCTGATCTTTCAGATAGCTCCAACACCAGCCTCTATCTGACAGCAACTGCTCGAGAACCCCTGGCTAAATGTACTCAACCTCAGGACTGTGAGAGATAATAACAAACTATTTTAAGCGATTACATATTGGGGTGGTTTTTTAGCAACAGAGAACTGAAAAGGCTCTTTGTGGTACATGTTTGGCTCCCTTGGAAGTGCCCCCCCCACTGTTCTGTCCTAGTTGTGTGCCCACTTATATCTTCATTTGTCCAAATTCCACTACAGAAGCTGGGCATGGTGGTGCATGTCTGTAATTTCAGCATTCTGGGAGGCAGAGGCAGGAGGATCGAAAGTTCCAGCCCAGTCTGGGCAACTTAGCCAGACTCTGTCCCAGAATAAAATATTTTAAAAAGGGCTATGGATGCAGCTCAGTGAAAGGCCCTAGGTTCAATCCCCAGGAAAACACACACACACACACACACACCCTTCAGATGATCCTTCTGGCACAGGGCAGAGGAAAGAATCAGGATTTGCAGTCAGCCTGTGGGGTAGGAGAGGTTGAATCCTATTCCATCTCTATTTGTGTGACCTTGGGAAAAATAATTAATTTCTCTGGGCCTCCATATCTGCATCTGCTTTATGGAAATAAAAACACTTATCTTCTGGGATTGCTTTGAGGACCACATATAAGTAAAGCATCTATTTGTCTGGTCCTCATTAGTCTCACTGAATGGTGACACCCAGGCTTCTAGACCTGTGTCAAATGGCATCTCTGAGGCCTCATTCTTGTCACTTATGAGTGCCATGATTCTGACAAGTCCCTTAAACTTCTCTGAGTCCTGCTTTCCTCATAAGTAGCAGGACTTTGATGATAGTATCCATGTAATGGGACTTCTGATAGGGCTGCTTTGCAAGGTTAGGCAACACTGCCCCCTCGAGGCAGAAAGCCCAGACCCTTGAGTCCTGTCCTGTACCAGTGTGGCATTAGGAATCCTCTGGATAGCCACAGTTGGGGTTCCAACATATGCAGACATGTCTAGAGGGCTAGGGGACTGTGAGGAAAGCTTGACTGTGGGCAAAGGCATCAGGGGCCTATGAGCTCATTACCTTGAGTGCAAAAGAGGTTTTGCTGGGTCGGGGGGGATGAGGGACACATGGAACAGAGCAGGCACAGGAGACTTATTTGGAATAATGCAAAGCTGGGCCTGACCATCATGTGGCTCAGTGCATTCCCATCCCCTACTTTCTCAGGGCCTTCCTGGTGGAGCAGGGAAGATCTGGTATATAATGACCAGGACAGGGGCTGAGGATTTAGCTCAGCGGCAAAGCGCCTGCCTGGCAAGTGCAAGGTCGTGAGTTTGGTTCCCGGTACCAGAGAAAAACAAAAAACAAAACAAAACAAAAAAAAGACCAGGACAAGGTCATCGGAGCATAGACATCTTTGCTGTAGACACCTCTTATGAAAGAACCAGGAACAAAGTGCTTTCCCACCTGGTGTGTGTGGGGAGGACAGACATCATAGGTGGGCCAGACCATAACCAGTGGGCAGGCAGCAAAGTGGCAGGGGTGGTGAGATGGGTGACATTGGGCAGCGGCTCTGACCATGTGGAGGGCGACTTCCAGGCTTCTTCTGCGACTCCCACTGAGGATAATGACACATGGAGATCCAGGAAGTTGCTGGACATTGAAACTGTAGGATCTGAGTTAAATCTAGTACAAAAGCAGGCAAAACTGATTCATAGGTATTAGTAGGCAGGATAATGGTTATCCCTGCAAAGAAAGAAGTCACTAGAAGGAAACATGGAGAGGATTCTGAAGATGGTAATGTTTTGTTTCTTCATCAAGCTCCTCCAAGGTATGATAAAATTATGGTGAATAGTTAAGTCAAAAACTAACAAAAATTATTACAGTAAAAGACACTTTGCCAGGAATCCTCCTCAACATTTCCCCTTGCTTCAAGCACACTTGCCCATCATTCTTGACCCTTTCTGAAGCAGTTCTGGAAGTCCTCTTCTGTGGTTTTTCTGTGGCTGCCCTGATGTTCTGAATCAGTTCAAAATGTTTATGTCAATTCCACGCAAAAACTTTATGGTGTGTTCTCATCCACTTTCCTTGCTTTTCCCCAACGCCAAAATGACCATGAAAGACAATTATGCTGAACTGCTTTAGGGTACCTAGACAGCCACAAAAAAGGACTTCTAGAGCTTGTCAGAAAGTGGTAAGGATGGTGAGACAAGTGAGGGGGAGTACTCTGAGCGGGATTAATAGCAATGCGTTTATTTTACTGTAATAAATATTTTTTAAAATTTAAAATATTCCCCACTTTTTGATCACACTGTGCGGTTAACATCATTGGGTTCATTTTGCAAAACTTAAGTACCCTTAAGATTTGTACACTGTTATGCATGTTGCTTCAGTAACAGATTAACACACGCGCACACAACTGTTGGGAAAAGAAAGATGAACGGTCATTTCCCACTTCAAGCCTTTTGAGATGGCACCACATCCAGGAAGAGACCAAGGGGTTGGAGGTGAGCATCCCCTGATGTCTGGTCAGGCTTATTTTACTTCTTCCCCATTCGCTTATGGTTTATTAAGTACTTCCTACACATTGAACAATGGAAAACATGTAAAGGTGGATGTAAAAAGACTGTTAATAACTGTAGTTTCCTTTAAGAACTTTTTCTGGAGTTGGCACTAAACATATCTCCCAACAATCCTATGATACGTTATTACAACCCCATCTATCAGCTGAAAATATGAGTCTCGTAAAGATTAAGCAAGTTGTTCAAGGTCACACAGTGAAGAAAGTGACTGTATTTTCCTACGCATCGCGGTCTGTGAGGCCCTGTAGCCCGGAGCTGCTGTGCTCCTGAGAGATCTAGGGGCCCACTGACCCGTAGATCTCACAGAAATGAGGCTTTAGAGCTGCCTTGAGTGAGTCTGAGTTCGAGTTTTGGCGACATGGTTTACTGTGATCCTTGCCATGCTCCTTCACTTTCTGAGCCTCAGTTTCCCAGCCCTATCACAAGGGCAAAAAACTACGCCACTCCCTAGGGGTTATTCTAGGGACTAGGTGAGACGATGTGGGTGGAGCCCGGTTCCGCACTCCGGGAGCGTAGAGCACAGGCAGATTCAGCATCTGAGTCCTTGGAGCACACACACGAGGCAGAAACCCACGAGGGCTGCGCTCACGCACGGAGGTTCCTGGCTCCTCGCCTCCCGATCGGAACCTTTAGGACCCGGTGCACTTAAGAATGAACCGATCGCCCTAAACCTTGTCCGTGTTGCTACAAACGAGCCAGGCAACGAGCCCTGGCCCCAAAGCATCCAGGCAAGCCGGCGCTAGAAACCCTGCGCGGGCGCTGTGCACCGCCGCGTGGCGGGAGAGCAGACGCGTGCTATCGCGAGATCCAGCGGGCAGGCGCCGCTCAGGCCGGAAGTGAGGGGCGGACCCGAGGCAGCGCGCTTCTTTTGAACTCGGAGGCGGCAGAGTGCAGCGCCAGGTCAGAGGCCGTTGTCTTCTGGGGGTGAAGCGAGGGCGGAGCTGGGCCTGCGGGGACCTCCGCGTGGGCTTTGGCTCGAGCGTTCCAGACCTTGTTCTGGCCCCGCGCTGGTACCCAGGCTGGCGGGGCCGCGCTTGCCCAACGGCCGCCTCCGGAGTGACAGCCCCCGCGCGGCTCGGCCCGGGAAGAGCCGGTGGCCAAACAGGTGCTTTGCCCGGACGCCTGCGAAGTCTCACTTTCCGACGCCCCGGCGCCCCTTCTATGGTGCGGAAGAAGGGACCTTGCGGCATGTTCACACTCGTGTTTGTGAAAGTTGGCGAAACAACTTTCTAACCTCAAATCTGTAAAGATCGCTGCCTTTTTCTATTGAGAATTGTCTTATCTTGGCGTTGGAGTGGCTGTGGGCTTTTATTTTTTTAAAGGCATTTTGCAGCAGAGAATGCTGTGAATTAAGAGTTTAATGGGATATATTTATAGGGCTCATGTGTATTCTTAAGTTATCGCCAGCCTTCCCAGTGTATAGGAATTCTTTTCTTTTCTTTTTGTACCGGGCGTAGAACTCAGAACCTCTTGCTTGCCAGGCAGGCGCTGGTGCTGCTGAGCAATAGCCCCAGCCCGCAGTGTATAGAAATTTGTAGGAATACCTCATAACTCACACTGCACTGGATTGAAAATGTGACCTGAATATATGGAGGTCTTCTGGTGCTAGGATGTCCAGGATCAAAAGAATTGGGAGAGTTAGGAAAGATAAGCTTTTACACCGGACAGTGTAAAATTCCTTGATACAGCTCATAAAGGAAAGAAGTTTGAAAGCTTGGTTTGATGGCACAGACCTATAATCCCAATATTCTAGGAGGCTGAGGCAGGATTATGGCAAGTTTGAGCCCAGTTTGAGCAATTTAGTAGGGCCCTGCCTAAAAGCAAGACAAAACAAAACTTTAGAAAGGGACTGGGGATGTAACCCAGTGTGAAGGCCCTGATTCAATCCCTAGTACTGAAAAAAAAAAAAAAAACCCACAAAAAAATTTGATAGAAATTTCCCTAAATTTGACAACCATCCTAAAAGAAGCAATTAGGAAGCTGAAAGAGGGGTGGGGATATAGCTCAGTGGCATAAGCACCTGCCTGGCAAGCACAAGGTCCTAAGTTGGACTCCTGGTACCAAAAAAAGAAAAAAGGAAGCTGAAAGAATCTTTTCTAAGGTAGCGATACAATAATCCTCACCTTTTACACTTTACTCAGATTTGGTTACCTGTGGCCAATTTTGGTCCAATAATATTAGATGGAACATTCCAGAAATAATTCATAAGTTTTAAATAACTTTTATTATAGCCTGTTTTTTTAATTGTTCTGTTTCATTATTAGTTTTTTTTAATTTTTAAAATTTTTTTGTCTTTTTGAGACAGGGTCTTAATATGCAGTTCAGGCTGGCCTTGAGCTCACTTTGCAGCCCAGGCTGGTCTCGAACTCGCAATGATCCTCCTACCTCAGCCTCCCGAGTGCTGGGACTACAGATGTTCGCCACCATGCCCGGCATTAGTTATTTTTATTAATCTCTTGTTTTATTTATTTATTTTTTTGTTTTTTTGAGATAGAGTCCACTGTGTAGAGGAGGCTAGCTTGGAACTCACTAGATAGCTCATGCTGGCCTCCAACTCATGGTGATCTTCCTGCTGCAGCCTCTCAAGTGCTCGGATTACAGGTGTGTGCCAACCACAACCAGGGTTAATCTCTTACTGTGGCTGCTTTATCATAGATATATATGTGTTGGAAAACACATTGTATACCTGGGGCTTGGAACTATCTGAAGTTTTGGGCATCCTTTGGGAGGGTCTTAGAATATATCCTCAAAGGATAAGGGGGATCGCTTAATGAGCAACACATTTTGATCAGCCATGAGAGCAAATAAACTAATGGTTGAATGAGTGTTAGTCTTGTACCAGGCATAGAACTCAGGACCTTATGCTTGCCAGGCAGGTCACGCCCCTAGTGACCCACCTGCCAACATTTACTGAACTCATTGATGGATAAATCCCCATGATCCAATCACCTTCCAAATGCATGAGTCTTTGGGGGGACATTTTAGATCTAAACCATAACAATGAGCTTCTTATTCTCTCCCAAGAAAATTCCAGAAAATGTAAAGAGGCCATCAAAGAATATGCAGCCAGGCCCTGTGCAGTAGCTGTGCCTGTAGTCCCAGTTACTTCAGAAGCTGAAGCAGGGAAATTGCTTTTGCCCAGAAGCTGGAGTTCATCCTAGGCAACATAGCAATTCCCTTTCTCAGAAACACAATTTTCAAAGGTGAATTTACACAAAGCTCTGGCCTCTCAAAATCTAGATCTGCCCTTAAATAGTTTTGACCTCTCCTGACTACTCCGGTTAGGGCAGGGAATGTGTTCGTTCTCTTAATTGTAGAGAAGGTGGAAGCTTGGAGAGGTTAAGTCATTTGTCTGTGGCTTTGACTGGCAGAACTAGAACTAAAACCCAACTCTTTTGGTTCTCAGTTCACACCAGGGACAATTGTCCTATTCTAAAACCTCCAACCGTCTTCAGTGGGTAGGGCTCAACTGTACCCACTTGGCCTGCTTTGGGTTCTGGGTTGTAGGTTCTGCACATGAGAGGCCCAGTAAAGCCAGAAGGGACAGGTTGTGTTTCTGAAGTGCCCACAGATCTCAGATGATAGCAGCCTTTCCTGTGTTCTCCCACTCCCCAAGTGAAGAAAGGCCAGCACCTGGTGGTATATTAGTCCTGAGCAACTGCAGTCATTCCCTCTGTTAGGGATAGATGTGTGTGACTGTTGAACAGAATCAGAATAAACTAGTTGCTGGGTATGGTGATGTATGCCTGTATTCCCACTACATGGTAGGCTGAAGCAGTAGGATCAACATGAGTTTGAGGCCAGCCAAGGTTACATCATGTGTTCAAGGCCTGTTTGAATTACATAGTGAGACCCCGTCTCACCTCCCCTCCAAAAAAACCAACCAAAACAGAATAGACCGGTGAGCCGGCTGTGTGTGAATATGCATGGGAACATGTCTTTTGTTAGTTCTCAAGCCAAGTGTATTTTTGGTCTGTTTCCCTGGAGACTGATAGGGAGTATGGGGAGAGGCCTTACCAAGCATAAGTATAATTTTGCCAGTTCCGCTTCCTTTCCATTTCCCCAAATTAGTCATCTCATCTTTCCACCTGGGCTGATTTTTCCAAGGTCACTAATAACTTTGTTGCTAAAACTAATTTTTCAGTTCTTATCTTAATCTATTCTTCCCTGTTCTTAGTGCTCTTTTCATTTTTTTCTTTCCTCTCTCTTTTTTTTTTTTTTTGGTACCAGGAATCAAACTCAGGACCCTGTGCTTGCCAAGCAGGAGCTTATGCCGCTGAGCTATATCCCCAGCCCAGTGAGTGTTCTTTTCAGATGTCAGTCTGATCCACCTCTATTTAAGATCCTTCAGTGGATCCTCACTGCTTTTAGGATTAAGAGTCACACAATTGGCCCCAGTCTCTAGTGTTATCCCAGTCCACATACACTAATCTTTCCTTTCTCTAGTGAGTCCTGCTCTTCCCTGATACAAGGCTTTCACATATGTTCCTTCAGTCACTATTTTATTTATACATGCTACTGCCACACATTGTCTTGGCATTAGAGATACAACAGGGAACAGAGCGACCACACATTTCTGCCATTCTAGAGCTCACCTCCCACTTATTGTACTGATTTGTTGTTTTTATTTCTGCTTGCTTTTTTTGGACAGGGTCTCACTGTACTACCTCAGGCTGACCTTAAATTTGGGATCCTTTTGCCTTTGTCCCAATGCTGGGATTAGAGGCCTGGTTTTTGTTTTTTGCAGAAATGTTCTTCCTCTTCCTTTTTTCTTTCCATTGATTTATTGATATTTAAGTAACAGCTTTATTGAGCTATAGTTCAACATATGTTAAAGTTCATACAGTTTGTTGACATGGTGGCTCATGCTTGTGATCCCAGCACTCTGGGAGGCTGAGGCAGGAGAATGGCAAATTCACACCTACCCCAGGAAACTTAATAACTGAGCAAGAACTTGTCTCAAAATAAAAAAATAAAAAGGACTGGGGATGTAGCTTACTGGAAGACACTGGGTTCAATCCTAAATTTAATCCACACACACACACGCAAGTGTGCATGCACATATACAAAAAGAAAGAGAAGTTCTATAAAATTCACTTAACATATACAATTTAAAATATTCAGAGTTGTGAAACTATTTCCACAATCAATTTTATTTTATTTTTATTTTTTAAAGAGCATTTCAGGTATTTTCTTTCTTTTCTTTTCTTCTCTTTTCTTTTCTTTTCTTTTCTTTTCTTTTCTTTTCTTTTCTTTCTTTCTTTTTTTGGGTACTGGAAATCAAATTTAGGACCTTACGGTTGCCAGGCAGGCACTGTGCCACTGAGCTAAACCCCTGGCCTACTCCACAGTCAATTTTAAAACAACTTTTTCACCCCAGAAAAAGTTCTATATCCATTAATAGCCACTCTCTCTTGCCCCTACAATGTGCCCAGTCCTAGGCAACTGATCTGCTTTCTGTCTCTATGGATTTGCCAGTTCTGAATATTTCATACAAATGAAGCATACATTATATGGCCTTTTGTAATGGCTTCTTTCACTTAGCATGCTGTTGCATGTATCAGAACTTTTGCCAAATAATATTGCATTGTATAATATACCATGTTGTGTTTATCCACTTCATCAGTTGAAGGGCATCTAGGTGGTTTCTACTTTTTGGCTATTATGAATTATGTGGCTATTTTCTGGTACAAGTTTTGGTATGAACATATGTTTCCATTTTCCTGGGTGTATTCTTAGGAGTGGAGTTGCTGAGTCATGTGGTAACTCTATGTTCAGTGTTCTCAGAAGTTGCCATTCTGTTTTTCAAAGCAGCTGCACTAGTTTACATTCCCATCAGTAATAATGAGGGTTCTAAATGCTCCACATCCTTGCTGTTATAGGTTGAGTTGTGTTCCTCA